AACATATTAACGCCAAACATTCGTTACGAACTACAAACATATTAACGCCAAACATTCGGTAGAATTTATAGAATATTGTAAAAATTATGGTCTATTACCAACATATATATATATATATATATATATATATATATATATATATATATATATATATATATATATATATTATTGGTAAACCATTATCCGCCATAGGCCAGACGTACGTTTCGTCTCTCCCGAGACTCGTCAGTAGCCTGCCGAATAAGGCTTAAGATAACACAACTCAATTATTGTAACCAAGAAACTCAAATTGAGGTGTCGCGAATAATAGGTAAGAACAACATCACATTGTTACAAGTTTTAAGAACCCACACACACACACACACACACACACACACACACACACACACACACACACACATATATATATATATATATATATGTATGTATGTATGTAATGTATGTATATATATGTGGTAAAACATTCAAACATTGAAAAATGCAGTTCAACTTAATTTAAATTTACAACTAATTAATCAATCTTTTAGTTATTCAGTCTAACAATCAGCACGTCAAATCATCTAATAAGTCAGCTAGCCAACCAACCATCAATCACTACCAATGTATCATTTGTTTAACATAACAACCAATCAGCTATTGTTTAACTATTCAACCAACTACTACCTAACAGTGGCGGATTTACGCACAGGCACAACAGGCACTTGCCATGGGCGGCAAATTTTGAAACAAATGATATAAAAATATTCAAGTTAAATACAAATTAATTCAAACTATTGCGTTTAAAGTGCCCCCTTAGACCAAACGTTAGTTCCAAACACTCCTATTGCATATATGGCAGTGCATATATCCGTATGTAGACATTGCATTTCGGATGTACACTTGTATTGTACTCCTGCTACAAACTGTTCGACCGAGCGGTCTTTTTTTGTAAAAAGCGCATTATAAATTATTGGCGTTCAACAATGTCGGAAGAAAGGCTAAACTTTCTTGCAAGCCAATGCTTTGAAAAAACAATTTTGTAAGAATTAATCCTGAATTGTATTACTGATGAGTTGGCGCCCAGAAGAACACCTTTTCATGGACCGTTTAATACGAATGAATTTTTACCAATAGTCGGTATATTACATGAATATCATTAAAGAATGTACCCAATAAAATTGTATTAAAAACATTGCTTCCATTTGATTTTAGTTTTCTTGAATTATTATTAAATTGGGGCGGCAAATTACGGGTGCCTTTACGCCGCAAAAATGTTAATCCGCTACTGCTATCTAATCAGTCAGTTTATTAACCAATCAACAAACTAACCAAGAAAGCACAAATCACCTAAATTAACAAGTAACAAACGAATTAAATTAAACAAACATAACAGAGATTCATTGAAATGTTTACTTACCACACACGTTCTCACAACCATTTCTGTTATAAAGTACCTACCACATATTTGACTTTGTATGCAGCCAGCAAGTCGACAACAAACCAATTTGAATACTCATAATTTATAGCTGCATGTGGAAATCGCCATGCTGCGTTAAAATTATTGTCAACTCCATAGGAAGCGTTATAGATAGCATAGTTTCCTCCCATGGAACTGAGGTGAGCTGGTTTCTTTAATGCTACATCATCCAATCGAGCTGATTTTTGCAATCAATTTTTTTTAAATAAAAATATTTTTTTTTAAATAAAAAATATTCAATAAATTTATAAAAGCATTTAAAAAATAACGTGCTTTAATTTTATTTTCAAATATTGATAGTCATAATTTTAAAACATAACAAAAACTTTTTAAATATCTATGTATTTTTTAGAATAATAAAATTTTAACAGCCGTAAAAATTCTTCAAACTCGTCTGAAGTAATATTTTAAAACAGTCTGCTATAATCGTTCGTTATTTGGAGCAAGACATCTTGAACCCCTATATCACCAAATTTAGTTCCAATTTTAGGAATTACTATCATTTCCAGTAAAACCAAATCAATGCATTTTCTTTATTTCCACAAAAAATCTGTTGTAGATATACCGGACTCCCACCATGCGGGCAACCATGTGCCAATACCGGTTTGTCTAACTTAGAACTGCTTACAGTTATTCTATACTTGTAAATAAACCTTCGTGCCACAAAGGCTATGCCATCCACACCACACGACGCACACACATATTACGTATGCACGCGCAACGTAAGCGTATGATGGTCTTTGAGTTTTGGACAGTGTTCGAACAACGTCTTCGCGGAATAGCAACGCGACACATGGCGCTTTTACCGACCGAGCTAATTCTGTGATGTTGACCTGCAATACAAGCTCTGTAACGTTTATACAGCATGCTGGAGTAGGCAAGTTTCTTTAACGCCACATTTACGTTTTCAACTTTTTCAAATATTTGTGAATAAGTGATTTTAACAATAGCCGTAATTGGGGTAGAAGAAGTTATTGTTGTTGAATACAAACAGAAATTTTCTTACAAATTTTACAAAATGATTTTGATATTAATTGCTAAAAATTTACGTATTCATGCATACGATATAATCAATTAATTTTTCATGTACCTTAAAAAATTATTAAAAACTCAAAAGCTATTAAGAGTTGAAAAAATAACAGAAGAAAAACTATTTTTGAAACAGCAGCATTTTATTTGCACCGGTGGGACACTCACTTGCCACGTTTTCGTATTCATCCAAATATTTCAGAATAAGAATAAAATAATTAATTAACAACAAAAATATACTGGAAATGTTTCAACTTTCATGAAAGTAGTTGTGAATAAATGATTTTAATAGTAGTAAAAAAAGTATATTATTTTACAAAAATTGGGTAGTTATAAAAAACGTTAGAAATTTTCAATAAAATGAATATAGCCAGTACTTGTTGTAGTTGATGTAGTGGTAGTTGGGGTTGGTGTTGTCGCAATTGATGTAACAGTAGTTGGGTCTGTTTGAGTTAACGTAGGGGTACCTGGAGTTGCTGTATTTGATGTAGTAGCAGTTAAAATATTTGAGGTTGATGTAGTTAAAGTTGGAGTTGTTGTAATTGTTGTAATTGTTGGAGTTGTAGATGATGTATTAGTAGTTGCAGATTAAAATAAAGTGCAAATTTTTATTTATATTAAAAATGTATATTATATCTAATTACTTTCAGCATAAACTTCAATTTCAGCAAATGCTAATCTCCTATCACGGTATTTCTGTTCAATTTCTGGAGATTGTTGTACGATGACAAATCTGGACAATTTACTACCATCAATACAATCGACTCTCATTGGTTCACCAAAATTTAAAACTTTCCCAGGCCACTGACCGCATAAATCATAAATTCCTAGTTTTGATGTATTCACGTTTGCATCAAAATTATTTGTCAGTCCTATTTTGAACTTTTCCATCCTGTAGTCTAAAAAATGTAGAAAGAACATTATAGTTTCTGTCAGAGTGTCGGAATCGGTTTTAGTCGGAGATTTTTGCCGGAAACGGATTTTTTTGAGAGGCCGGAGTGAACCTTTGACCCTTGTTAAAACTGAAGACAAAAATGAAGTCAACCACGATGATTTATAACATCCCGCGAAAGTTTAGTTTGATGGAACTATCAGTTAAAAATTTATGCGTCGGTCAAAAATTTTCGTTGTTGTACTCTAATTTTAAAAAAGGTTTTGAGGAATTGTTTTGCAAAATAAGTTTTATAAACAATATTTCAAGATATTACATCAATTTGATAAATCTTCAAATTAAATCCTGTGATTTTTGTTGGTTGCTCATTAGCTTTTCAAATGTTCCTCACGAGGTAAAAACTAACTTCCACACTTTTACGCATTTGATAGTATTTGTATTTAAAAAAACATTTGTTACATGATTTTACTAACGCAAGAAATATCAACAAATTATAGCATGCCGGAGAAACGCTTTGTGGTGTAATAGAAACGTACACATATCTTCTTGGATTACGTACTATAGATGGATATGTAATAATGATACCATTGATTCGTGTAGAATTTAAAACCCAATTTTGTCATGTTAGTTATTTCTTGATGTATGTAATATTTTGAATAAATATTTATAAGATATTTTCTTCTATCTTGCATAATAACGGTGGTAATGCTCTTTATACAACTTTAATTTTACGTAAAATTCTACTTGAATGAGTTTGAAAAATTGCTTTGATAAACTTTTGCAAAACATTTTGTAAACGTCTATCCTAGGTATTTTTATGTATTTCTATGTTTTCATTATAAAAAATACCCGTTTTCATCTGGTTTATTTTGATGAATAATTTCAACTAAATGAGTTTAAAAATTTGTACCATTGATTCATTGAAAGAACGAACGAACGATCTGTTACCTGATTAAAACAACTTTGAAACGTTGCATTTTGAGATGAAAACAATGTTTAAAACGTTAAATAATTTACAAAATAAAATAATTTTTTTTCGAATTTATTTATTTACTTCTATTTCAATATAATTGTTAGGCCTGGACATTTGTAAAAGAAATTTACTTTTTTTATTTCAAAGTAATTAGTTAGGGAAACAAAACTTCCTTCTTCCAATATTAAAAAAATTTATTTAATTGATAATTATATAAATTGAAAAATAATATTTCTCACAAAATACGGGCAAGCAATTTAACTTTGTTATCATCTATTTTTAAATACTACACCTCATGGAGCAGATGGCCGTCCCACATCTTACATTACAATAAAAACCATTATAATTTACGACTAGCCGAATCAATACTCATAGGAGAAAGACATCCGATATTAAATATTCAACAACGGGCAAGTGGAATTTTTCCTACCATTTCCTACCAATAAATTTAGAAACAGAGAAATCATCGATAATGAAAACACTTAAAAGTGTTATATTAAAAGAAGTTGAAGATTGTAAAATTAATTAAATGACCGTTAAGTATTCACTTTGAACAAACAAGGAGTCAACAAAGTAGAGTAGAGACGAAATAAATATATATATATATATATATATATATATATATATATATATATATATATATATATATATTTGAGCATCTGGCTACATATACAACGTATCAATTGGAACATCGATGATGGTATAGGAATACCGAAAAAAGCTTTTTTGTTCTGTTATGCATAAAATAGTTAATTTTAGCATGGTTTGAACATTTTAGAAACTCTTTAATAGAGTCTGTTTTCTGTAAGTTCTGTAAATACCACCAACCACCATCACATTCAATACATTGTGACAGAAATAGCAAATGATTCCTATTTTAAACTAATATCTTCTATCAGCACTCATCCGTTTGAATGACTAGCGAAACAGATAAACATTTTTTTGTCAATTTTAACTTTATTTCATCTTATTTTATTATATTGTTTTTTATTTAATAATATAATATAGCAATAATAATAATTATTATTGTTATTTTTGTTATTATTATTACTATTATTATTATTTGCTGGTAATAATTCTTTTTAATTGCTGATATAATATGTGTTATTTACACTGCATAAAAATAAGAGTACCTATACTTTGTTTTAATTATCAATTACAACGTTCTAAGCAGTAGCTGCTGTTGAAATGTTCGGGTATTTTTATATAATTTAGCCATGCGCAAAGATGTTTGTCGTTTTTTTAAGTCCGGGTTGCTACTTAATTATCGTAAGTGCTCTCCTGTAAATAAGCTTCGCTGAGTTCGCCTACCACTATTCACTAAATTGATAGAATTTTTATGGCGACTTATGTTAAATCGACGTAATGTCTCGTTTGGTAGTTGCCATCCTGCTATTGATTCCAGGTGTATAGTTGTTGACGTTTTGTTCTCTGCGGGTGCTGGTGCGTTGTAGGGAACGTCAAGCATCCGGGCTGGAGATAGGCCTGATGTTGTCTGTGTGACTGATTGAATGAGGGTTTGGATGTGAGTCGAGGGATGATTCGTTGCTAAATTGATTGTTCTGTTTCATTTTTAGATCCGTCTGCAAGTCACCGCGTGTCTGATACAATATATATTGATTCCGAACCACACACCTGCAAAGAATTGGACGCCGAACTAGATTTTTGTGTTTTCAACTGGAATACTACGAAAAGCTGGCCGATAAAGAATTGGACAAAGTCCAATGAGTTCTGCATGAATTTTGTTGGAAATTCATTTTTGTTGAACGAATATGTAAACGTTCAGTTCGAACAAATATTTGAAATTTTCCGCTATTCAAATGCTGGTTAGTTTGTGTCAACTCAATTTAGTTTTTTATATGTTGAGATTGAAAGCTTTTTAAAAAAATTTTTGACCACAGCTGTTGATGAGATGATCTGGACTGGCTTGCGGTTGATCGGCGGCTCGTTAGTATGGGAAAGTATCTCACCAACTTCAATGCTGACAAGGTAACATTCAAGAATTTTTAAAATAATATTCTACAATTGTAACTTGAAAATATTTTTAAGAGCAATTCCTCGTAAGGGTTTTGATATTGAGCCCGGGGAATATGAGTATACCGACGACACTGGGCTGTGTGGGGCGTTGCAGAGATCAACCCGCGTTCTTAAACTTATTAGTTGCAGCAGCCAGATCAATTTCACGTGTTTTCAGATTTATCCTAAGTTGTCCACTTACCCTCCCCTCACAAATAGTAGCCATCAGTTTAACCCTAATTTTCGGGTTAAACATCGTTTTCCTTCTTCATTAGATGGTAGATATGAAAGAGATGTTTATCGACAAAGTAAGCAGTCTTTTATTTTATTAAATATAACGCATTTAAAAAATAATACCATTACAAAATAGCAATAGGACAATTGAAGGTTGAAATTAAGAATTAAGTGAATCAAGCAAAACTATTGACAATTTTGAAATAAGTTTATGTCAATAAATTAATTACAGGTTATAAAAAATGCGACAAAGGATGGGTAACAGGCAGGAATCCAAATTTGTGCTTCAAAGCCATGGACAACGTCGTGTCATGCGACATCGCTAATGAAGAATGTTCTCGTTATGAAAGCGGTAGTCTGGCAGTTTACGACGATTTAGACCTCGAGGAGCTCAGTAATACTATCTCTTAGTTTCTTTTATTGAAAGTTGTATTAAGTTTCAATTCTCCTTTTAATTTTTTCATTTGAAGATGTCAATTCAGGTGAATACTTCATCATCACGGATAGAGAGACAGAGGCGAGGACTAAAGACATTTATAGTATGTATGAGTCACACGTAAAATGCGATAATTTTTCACTACAGTATTTCATATTGTGACATAACATAATTTTCATACTATCATTTATTACTACGTTACCTAATATTATTATGCCCAAGAGTTTGTTACACAATTTTTTTTGACACCACTAAGTCCCGGATGACGCAACGCGTTGCACATTCATTGATGTGGAGAGTAAAACATTGTACCATGATTGGTTTGAGAGTCGGAAGTACATTTGCCAGCAGCCAAAAATTGGTTATTTTAAAACTTTTTGAAAATTTTCATTAAATTTTTTATATAAAAACTATTTCCAAATTTATAAAAAATCTAAGCAGGCTAAATTATTAAACAAAATTAACCGAAAATAGATTATGAACTCAACCTGAATTCAAATGTGCCATTAAACAACATGGACATGGCGCTATATAAATTAGAACTAATCATTTTTTATGGGGTTGTGATAAAGTGCCTGTCTTCTTTGTTGTTGTGACTGGGTTCGAACGTAAAGAGATCTCTAGCTTACCATCTTCACGTGTGTTGTGTTATTATTATTATTGTTGTGCTTGTTATTCTTATTAAATATTTGTATTGTTATTATGGTTATTTATATTATTTCTATTATTAATAGTAGTAGTAGTATTAATAATATGGTTATTGCAAATAAACATTCAATTAAATTTTAAGAGTCTAAATCCACAACGGGACAGAATGTCTTCATTGATTTTTCGTCATCACTTGAGTATACGAAATTCAGATGCAGACCGTCCCACGTTGATATATCACCATCCAATCCCTTGATACATTCCGTAAACAATTACTTCCAGATTCCTCCCTTTGATGACCCTGAATATTACTACGATCATCTTGCTTCATCTGAAACTATTCAACGTAGGTTGAGCGTCGGATTATCACAAGGCTACCACAACTGTTATATTTGGGATTTTAACTCGCTTAGCGGAATCTATGAAAGAAATCTAGACAGTAGCACTTTAGTAAAATTTACAGGTACAAAATATCGTCATTATATTAACTTCCATTTTACGGTTTTTTTTTTATGTTAAGACATAAAAACTGATTACCTGTACGTCACAATCAACTACTCTGAACCTCTTGCTTGGACGGACGTGTACTCATTTGTTACATTTGATTACATCATGGATTGGACTTCAAATCCACACATTCAAAAGTGGATGTCGTGGCTCAACAGTTCTTACGCCTATCTTGAGAAAATTATGAAGATTAAAAAGAAGTTTGCAAAAACTTCTAAACAATTTTTATTTAGGTAACTTTCGATCATTTTTTTTTCTACAGAAAGGGTGTTGGAACCATGCTAGACGTAAAGATAAACGTATATTCGCAAAAAACAGCAAAACGAATGACAAAAATATTTTCAAGGCAAGTGTTGCTAAACAACATGGAAAGACAGGAGCCAGTTCCTGATGAGTTTGAAGAGAAAAAATTTCTTCGGTCAAACAGTCCGCCAGCTAAATGGTTTCACAAACGTTTTTTAATTTTATTCTAAATTAATTGTAAATTAATTACTAGTTTCTTTTCTAATTTGATCCATACTTATAACATAAAATTTTTATCAAAGTATATTTTAACCATAGGCTGAAAGATAAATATATGAAAGTAAAGAACTCAGGTAAGTTGCTTGAATGACTTCCATTGTGAGAAACGATTTTAAAAAAAAAACAGCGCTAAGTTTGAATTTCTTTTAGCCAAAAAACTTTTAAAATTATTATGAATAAAAGATTTTTTTTAATGTAGAGGGATGCTACAAAGAAATCGTCTCCTTCGGATCGGATAAATTTTTTTTTGACGTAGGACTGCCGGATGAAGTTGCCTCCAGTGATATCTTATGCCACATGCGAGGTTCGGCCTTTACATATATATATAATTACATATATAAAATAAGTCAATTAAATTATAAAACTATTGTGGCTTGGTGTTTAAAAGGACTGGCTGACGTTGCAGTGACTAGATTCGAATGCAAACGAATCCCCGCTTATCACATGCAATGTGCATGATGCGTTGATTCGCGTGTATTAACATGCACTGTGTGTTTCTTGTTGGCACCTTTGAAGAAAATTTAAGAGAGATTTGTAAAAAAAATTTACTCCATGCATGCCAATACATTCCAAACTACATAGGTTTTCCTCCAAAAGCCAAAGCTAAGTGTAGTGGAAACTTTGTATTTGGTTACAGTTGGGTTCTTAATGAGTTGTTGGACTGCGCCTCATTCAATATCAATGAAGCTGATGAAAGTTCGAATCTAACTAAATCTTTCTATGATATCCTACACAAAGATGTTAGATTTTGTTTAAAAAATTAGTTTTGCAAAATGGCAAGAAAAAGATAATTGGATATTCAAATGCGTTATTTAAAATTATTTAGATGAAAGACTATGATGATTTACTGGAAATGACTAAAGACTTACTAACAAAAGATCCAACAGGCTCAACCGTCCAGTCAAAAGATATTTCATTAGTAGCTGCTATTTTGGAGAAATCAAACAGCACCGACTTCCATATGAGCACAGATGTAGGAATATTTTTAACATTTCCAATAGAAAAAATTTTTTTTTACGTAACTTTCCAAAATTTTTCGTGAAGCACCGGTAATTTTTTAAAAGGTCGCGGAAACAATGGTTACAATAGTCGATGAGTTGTTGAGTTCACCAGTTGAAACTTTTGAAAAGGCGCAAGAACGAACGGCAGCATCACTTTCGTATGTACATTCATTTTATTTATATTAAATTTATCAACAATTTCTTTCAATTCAATAAAAAACTCAGCAAAAAATAATTAATTATTCCGAAAAATGTCAGAATTTTAAATTCCATGGAGACGCTAGTGAAGAAGTTGAGTGAAGTAAGCCAAGACATCAACGTCACGTGGTCGGGAAAAAATTTGGTGACTCATTTTTACGAAACTAGCGTTCATAATCATAGTATGGGATTTGCGCTGTTGAAATTAAAAGTGGGTAACAAATCTGAAAAGTATATTTACGGTGGCGGCGTTTTGGAAGCAGGAGGCGATAACTTGGATGAAGATTTGGAGGTTGCTCTCTTGATACCAGATGAAATTTACAGACGAAAATCTCCCCGTAAGGCTTTTCTTTTTATTTAAATTCTAAAAATAAAATATAATCGCTTTTTTGAAAATTTTACACTTCAATTACTGCATGTCGATGTTGTTTAATGTTATTTTAACTAATAATTGTTTTTCAGTGGAAGGAGATTTTCCTGTTAAAACGAGTCTCATAGTCTATAAGACCGCAACCCTCTTCCAATCGTCGATGACGTCATCGTCACCATTATCGTCCGCGAAAAGATCTGCTGGTCTTAATAGTTCTTCCTTGGATGAAAATGGGAAAGACCCAGCTGATGACGATGGATGTGAAGATGTCGTCAATAGAAAAATAAATTCACTGATAATTAAATCATCGGTGGGAGGGAGAAAGATATCAAACTTGAAGAAAAAAGTTAAAATTAAATTCCGCCTAAAAAATGTATATCTGATTCTAATCTTTTCATTGCAAATTTTTTTTATTTTTTAACCACAGACATTTTTGTTCTCTTCCTCGTTGAACTATTTCATTTTAATTTTTGAAGAACACTATTTCTAATCCTGCCTGCGTGTATGCGAAATATAAGAACGATCGGATCGAATGGTCGACTGATGGCCTGGAAACGATTGACTCAAACGTTGAAGACTTTTATATCGAATGTGAAAGTGACCATCTGACGAACTTCGCCGTCTTAGCGGTGAGAAATTATTCGAGTTTTTCTGTTACCGTTAGAAAAAAGGTATAAAATGAATTAATTTTTTGTCAAAAATTAAAAAAAATATTTTTGTCAGGGTTTTGAAAAAGACCTGCATTCGAAGAAGGTCGGCATCGCTTTGCAGTGGGTATCCATGATTGGAATGATCATATCCATCGTCTGCTTGTCCCTGGTCATCATCGGACAAATTATCTTCAAGTAATTTTCATTATTTTAAGTAACTTTTTTTATTTTCGAGTAATTTTTATTGTTACTAAAGAATTTATCGTTTTTACGTAGAACTTTAATCAAAGCGTGTTTTATTTCACAAGTCGAAAACGAATTTATATGATTGTGTCTGCATTTTTTTTCGTGTTCAGAAAATTTCGCAAAGGACAGTACCACATCGCACTCCTTAATCTATCAATATCTCTCATTTGCGTCAACCTCATCATCATGTTCGGACTGGATAAGAAACCACCATCACCACCACTATCGTCGTCATCATGTACGTCATCCTCTACGTCATCAATATCCCGTAAAACCATTGGCTGCCTGGTAAAGAGCGCTCTCTTGCATTATTTCCTTCTTGTTTCGTTTTCCTGGATGCTGATTGAAGCCATCTTGCAGTACTTGAAGTTTGTGAAGGTTTTTAATACGCACATTTCGAGCTTTGTTTGGAAAACTATGCTGCCTGCCTGGAGTTAGTAATTTGTTTTTGCGTTAAATATTCATTTATAAGTATTATAATTACTTATTTAGTCAGATTGGGATAGTTTTCTGAAATAATATTTTTTTATTCTAAATTTTGAAAATTATTTTAAAAAGTTTTACCAGCCATCGTCGTGATTGTCACCGGCTCCGTCGATTACAGGCTGTTCGATGGCTTTAAACATCAGTTAGAATTTAGTTTTCCTAAACGTTTTTTTCATTAAATATAAAAATATTTTAAAATGACAATATTAAATAATATGGATTTGTATTAATAATGTTATATTATAATAATAATAATATACGTATGTTAATAATAAATTGAACACTAGTTGCTGGTTAGCCAAAAAAGCATTTTACCTTGCTTTCTTATTACCTCTTGGCTTTATAATCCTTGCTAATATCGTAGTGTTCATGAGGGTGATTAAAGGGATTTCATGTGACAGACCGAAAGGTGAATTAGTATTTTTTCTAATTAGTTTTATTAAATGATTAATTTAACAGAAAAATTGTATTAAATTAATTAAAGGTATGGTAACGAATCAGTCGCAGTGTAAACTCATCTGGCTGCAAGTTCAAGTGGCTCTCTGCTGTTTCGTCATCATGGGTTTGTTTCATGAAATCATTTGCTCATAGTTTTGTTCATGAATTTCACCATTTTTTGTTGATAAAATTTCTTAATGGTAATTTATTTCTACAGATTAAATATTTAATTGCCATAGGATTAACATGGTCGTTCGCCTTCTTCGCTTACGGCGATGCATCGGTCGTCATGTACTTCCTGTTCGCCATCTTCAACTCCCTTCAGGGACTGTTCATCTTTTTGCTGTTCAACTTGCGCGAGAAACCAGTGCGTCATGCTTGGAGCAGTTTCGTTCGGAAGCCGGCAAAACATTTACCATTTTCAACGTCTTCGACGGGTGCCACCGCGCCAAACACGAGCAAGTTCACACCCAACAAGTTAGTTGATAAAGATAAAAAGAAAGCTTTGTCTACTGAGTTGGATTTTTTGAATGCCACAAGTTCAGGTCGAAGCTTGGATGACGCTGAAAAAAATAATTTAAAGAAACGTTCCGGTAGTGATGGGAAGGGTGAAGAACACGTCAACACTTTTTCGAAATCTAATTAATTCATTGGATTCATCTACGCATTATTGCTCAATTACTTTTTAATTATTTAAGATCATCAATCTCATTTCATTTTATGTTATTAACTTGCTGTGAATTAGAAACATAATGCAATTAATTTGGAAACATAGACGTAGAATCACGTGAAACATTTTTTAATATGTATGGACAGGGAAAACATAAAAACAAAATTTACTCACGTACGTGCAAGTTCATTAAATGACAAGCCATGCCTAGTTTTTCAGTTTGATCATCAAAAAATATGTGGGTTTAATTTTGTTTATATCAAAATTAAGTTTATGTATTAGGTTGTTGATGGAGATGCCTGGCCAACTATCCGGCGACGATATCCGGCCGGAGCCGAGCCCGAATATCGTTGAATAGTGAAAAAGGCTGGAGCTAAACTGAATTTAGGATTGAAGTCAATTCGTATAAAACTTGAATTTTGAAGTCAGTGAAGTCACGAAAGTGACGTCAGAACGCCAAGTCAGTCGCCACCAGCATAAATCATGTGCGTGAACGTTGCAAAGGAAAGTTTGCGCCTTTTATTGTTTCTTTGATATGTTTTGACGAAGTCGATTTGCAGATCTAGAGGGGCTGAAATCGTTTCTCGTCCAACTTTTTACAAATTTATAAAACTTTTGCTCCTTTTTTAAAAAGTTTATTTGTATGAAAAATAAAAGATTACAAGTCATCATGAAAAGAATACTACAAGAGAGTAACACTTAACCCAAAATATCAATCAATCATTTCTGTCAATGTGACATAAAACAATTAAGCATGTATGGACCAATAAATTTGATAACAAAAAATTAAGCAAGCAAACAAATATAAAACCAATATATATAACAAAATGTAATTTAACATAATAAAAAATAAGAACAATTGAAATAACACATGATAGCCGGAAACAGCTTACATACACAAACATTACAACAATGTAGAAATTATTATAATTATTATTGTAATAATTATATTTTTTTTATTATTGTTAGTTTTATGATTATTTTTGTTTCGGCAAAAAGTTCGCTCAAGCCGATTTTCTGAAAAATAAAAAAGCCCCATATAAAAATGTTCAAAGTAAAATATGCTCTCTATGTACACGGATGTACAATTGTACATCCATCCATACACTCATATATGCATATACCGTTTCCTGTTACTTCACTCACTTTACAATTGCAATCAAAGACTTCTAGGATCAATTACACCCAGTGTCCAAGTTTACAAAAAATAGCAATAATTTTGTGTGAATATAAGAATTGTCGTTGAATTGAAAAATGGGCATGTCTTAATTATAAGAAAAAGGTTGAGAAGTTAAAAATGGTTATCAAATGTTGAAAATTAATGACTTAGCAAGGTTTGAGATATAAAACTTATCAAATGAAATCCAAAAATTCAACTAACTGCTTTCTCTCTTAATCCATTGTAACAAAAAATGAGATACTATCATACATAATCATCATTATTTAGCAAATAAGATATGGCCTTTGTTTGTTATTTACTGTTGACAGCATATTTATTTCGCTTTTACCCACAGCAGCAAGAACTACTTTTCTTGCAGCTTGAACAGAACGTGGTACAACAAACTTTTCAAAAGTAACAAAATTATCTGGATTGATCGTTAGGTGCCTTGTTGCTCCATTGTCAATATACCACTTAGTGTTGTCTCTAAATGTTTTATGACTGGCTGACTTGCACAAAACTACACCATGTTTCATCCTATGTTTTTCTTGGTGTCGCTGAAACATTTTTGGAACTTTTAGAAGGTCTTGCATCACTGATACACTTCTACCATGCTTAACCCTGTGTCCAAGTTTATAGTTTTGTCCTTTTAGTGAAATCTGCTGAAAACTTGCTGAAACTTGACTTTTCAACATTTACAACTAAGTCGTCCTAAGCCTTGTAGATTTATTGATAATGTCGAAAGCCTTTATCTCTTTTTCTAAAACACAGAGACGAGTGATTAAATCATCTATCGACTTCTTTTCTTCACCTAGCATTAGCCAACTTGATTTGAAGTTTTAGAAACTACTTGGGAGAATCTGTGGTAGTTTTTTTTGTCCCGATGCCTGAAACCCACTGTTTAACTTGTTCCACAAAGTTTTCAATCTTGCAATTTGGTAGGATAAATCTACATCCGCTATCCAGATATCCAAATCGAAAAAGTTGCTACAAACTTGGAACAGTTGATCTTTAGTTGACGCTCAAAAATTCCTTTTTAATTCCTCCCAAACTTCAAACGCTGTGTTCTTGTCCGTTATCTTTTAGTATGTGTCTAATTTGTCTACTTTGACTGCATTTACAATTACTGATTTGGCATATAACTGTTTATCCACACAAGTTACTAGGTATGTACAAAAATTCAACACAATAATCAGCAAACCTCACAACGAATTATTAACCGACACAAAAATTAAAACAACATAATGATAGTACTGACTAATAAAGAACATGAAAAATAAAAAAAAAATTTTTTTCATAATCACATTTAATTACAAGAACCGAAATGCTGCTTAAAAAACAGCAACTTTAATTGTTTACAAAATAGAGGAAATGATATTCCAGGTAGACTGAGTGAGGTTGGCAAATTATTCCACACCATCGGTCTAGCAACAGCAAAATTTCTTTTACCAATCGCCAAACGGGCTTGAGGAACGTCTAGCAAATTCCTATTATTGGATCTCAATCCTGGATAACCAGACGTTGAATCACGTTTAGTCAATCTACCGACCAAGTACGGAGGAGCACGCCCATTTAAAACTTTGAACATCAAAACAGCAATCTTGTAGATAATTCTCTTTTCAATCGGAAGCCAGTGCAGATCCCGTAAAATCGGCGTCACATGATCAGATCTAAAACCTCCAACAACTAGCTTGGTCATGCGATTTTGAATTGACTGTAGTTTGGAGATTTCCAACATGGAGACACCGTAAAAAAGGCTGTTGCAATAGTCCAGCCTCGAGTGAATAAACGCGTGAGCCAAACTCTTTAGGGTAATCTCATTAAGTGAATTTTTTATAGCCCTCATCATGCGAAGTTGTCGATGACATTCACCAGTTAGCGACTTTATGTGGCACTCCATTGTCATATTACCATCGAATACAACACCAAGATTACGAGCAACTTGACATAATTCATGCCATGTTTCGGTCAATACACATATATCTAAATCATTTGATAACAAATCATGAATTATATCATATTTTGACCGAATGGATCTAATATTAAGCAATCCCAAATTTAATCCGGTTTGGTAGCAGGCCTTGGATATCTCACTATTCTCCATTGCCCGACCACACCTCTGACCCGATATAAAAAATGACCATCTTTAGCTTCCCGCGTTATTGCCTCAAGAACCAATTTTTTAAGCTGCAGACGCTGGTCCGTTGTAAGGTCATCACTAATCCTCACTTCCCTCATTTTTTCATCCAGCAGCGCTAATCTGAACAATCTTCTCAAAACCAGGACTTTTGCAGAAAGGTTGATAAACTTAACAATCACTGGACGCGGGGGAGACGATACGCTTGGATTTTTACCTTGTCTAAATATTTTTAATATGTCATCATCTTTCAGAGACTCGTCTGTTAGGGACCTTAAACATTGCTCCTATCTTTAGCAACATCCAAGTCTTCGCTGAAATTAAAGAGAACTATGTTGTTCTCACGGGCTTAACTTCATTTGCCACTTCAATTGTTCTGCGAACAGAGATGACCTCTTTACTAACTACGTCGAGGTCCTTTCTTACCACATCGGAAAATGAAGTACTGATCATATTTCTCAAAGAAGCAGCCTCGTTATCGACAATTTTAGAATTAATCTTTACAACGTCTAACCAAGACTCGGTAATATCGTTTTTCAAGGAGTTAATAGACTGGTTAAGTTTCTCGTCTAGTTTTTCTAACTGTTTTAGGTTCTCACCGCTTGACTTATGCCTCAACTGCAGATTTTTTATCCCAATATCAATGGAATCAAACGTTTTAAAACAAGAATCAATGGATTCAAATTTTTCGTTAAGCATCTGCAAAAGACCTTTGAAACCATCAGCATGTTTCACGCAATTATCGCAATAAAATTTCATGTTTTTACTTTTGCTAGCATATTTCACCAATTCATCATATAAGGCCGAAGGCTCGATTTGAACCACCGCATCACACACACAACATAATATGTTATCATAACTTATGGAAACCAAAATCAAATGGAAGGAATGTTTTTAATACATTTTTATTGGGTACATTCTTTAATGATGTTTATATAACGTACCGACTATTGGTAAAAATTCATTCGTATTAAACAGTCTATAAAAAGGTGTTCTTCTGGGCGCCAAATCATCAGTAATAAAATTCAAAATTCAGGATTAATTCTTGCAAATTTGTTTTTTCAAAGCATTGGCTTGCAAGAAAGTTTAGCCTTTCTTACGACATTATTGAACGCAAATAATTTAAAAGTTGCTCAGCCGAACAGTTTGTAGCAGGAGTACATACAAATGTACATCCGAAATGCAATGTCTACATATGGATATATGCACTGCAACTCATTTATTCTTGTCCATTTAGACAAATCAATTGGAGTGTTTGGAACTAACTTTCGGTGTAAGGAGGCCAAATAAGACTTTAAATGCAATAGTTTGGAATTTGAGGTATCGTCTAGATCTTTTGGAAATTAAGATCTAGAAAACCTTAATTTTTATTTAACTTGAATATTTTTATATCATTTGTTTTCAAAATTTGATGGCTAGTTGATTGGGTATTTTTTTAAACGAATGATACATTGGTGGTGATTGATGGTTGGCTAGCTAGCTGACTTACTAGATGAATGACTGACTGATTGTTAGACTGAATAACTAAAAGATTGATTGATTAATTAATTGTAAATTTAAATTAAGTTGAACTGCATTTTCAATGTTTGAATGTTTTTTCATATATATATATATTTTAGATTACCGAAAGCAAGATTTTATAATAGGACTGACAAATAATTTTGATCCAAATGTGAATAAGATCATCGAAAAAAATTACGATCTATGTGGTCAGTGGCAAGGTCCTGTGAAACCATTTGGTGAACCAATGAAGGTAAATTGTGTTGATGGTAATAAATTTTCAAGGTACGTCATCGTACAACAGTCTCTAAAAATTGAAGAGCAATACAAAGATAAGCATTTGGCATTTGCTGAACTTGAAGTTTATGCAGGTAGCAAGTTATATTCTGTTACTCCATTTTTACTTTAGCCAGATGTTTATTCAAAAGATGAGGACGCCTACTTTGAAATATTTTTTGTATTTGATAAAATGTACGTTAATTATCTTAAACAATCAAATTTAAAAGTTTACTATTTGAAGTAATAATAATAATAATGTGGATCTATTAAATTATTAAATAATATTGAACGACTTAAATACTTTAACTAAATTTTTCCCAACCATGAAAATGATTTATATATTCAATATTTGAGTATTTGTCACTTATTTTTGATCTTTTTGTTTATTCAAAATTTTCTTCCTTTATGATTTTGTTTTGATGGTGATTTTCATAAAATTTTTAGTAAAGTACAATGGCATTTTAAATGTATTATCGTATATTGACGTTATTTAGTTAAGTTTCCTCTGCTTATCATTACTCAAACATATTTGTTAAGCGTTTCTTGTTTAATGAAACAAAACTTAAAAATAACCCTTTATTAACAACTACATTGATCAGCAGATTTAGACCTAACAAGACTTCTAGTTTATCCAATTCAATTAATTCAATATGCAAAACAAAAATCTAAGTAGGTTTCATGATTGATTGAATTGGAGCAATTTGAAAAAATGAGCGTTGAGTCTATAAGACTTGGCGATTCTGACATTGAGTTTTGCACATCTGCAGGCAGCCTGGGATTTGTTTTCGATAATAACATGTCTTTCTACGTTCATACTAGGGCAGCTTCGAAAGGATGCTCTAGACAATTGTGTAGGCTTAGACGCATCAAACGATCTATAAGCAAACATGCTCTTCAATGTCTTGTTCAATCTTTTATCCACTCAAAAATAGACTATTGCAATAGTCTACATTACGGTTTGTCTGGCGTGAATTTGTCTAGACAGCAGTCGGTTCAAAATTGGGCTGCAAGGTTGGTTTCAGTTAAGCCAATTATTTTTGCTCTTCACTGGCTTCCGGTTTATCAAAGAGTTATTTTCAATATACGTTTAACGGTTTTTAAATGTATTAAGAGAATTGTCCCTAAATATTTAATTGACAGAGTCATTCCTTAAACACTGCCACTTTTGAATCAAACATTGCGCTCTGACAATTCAAGTTTACTGTTTTTACCTGACACAAACTTGACTCTTGGTCAGAGGAATTTTCGTAATGGGCCCTGCTGTCTGAAATGATTTTCCTAAGAACCTTCGTGACCCTACGTTGTCTGTTATTCAATTTCGTAAAAAGTTGAAACACCATCTTTTTGTCCCAGCTTGCCCGTACTAATGTCTTTTATTTCCATCCACTGCATTGCTTTATTAAAGTCCTACGCATTGTACTGCAATAATCGTTAGCGCCTCTGAGATCTTTTTGAAGGGCGCTTTCAAACACACCAATAATAATAATAATAATTTAATACTATATTAAAAGCTTTATTTACAATGTTATTTCAATGTATAGGGCTTTGCGTGAATGTCTGTACTTTTGATTTTGTCAAAATTTTGAAAAAGAATTCAGAAAAAAGAAAATTTATTTAACAATACTAAAATTTTTAAGTAACATTTCACAAACTGAAAAATGTTACAATGACAACCGGGATCTTACAAACAATGGTAAAAAAGAATCATTAATTTGAAAAAATTTAACACAGCTGTCAAAAATTAATAACAAATACTGAATGAAGTGTCATTTCGAATATTGAAACACAACACAAATTCAATCATTGTTATTCATCGAAATATTGTATCCATTCAAGATCATAGATACGTAATCAGACACGAACAATGTTGAAAGAAAGTTACTTTAGAACAAATGTTGATAACACTTGAAACAATGATTAAATAATCATTGTATTTGTTCACTAACCAGAAAATGTTTAGCACTTCTATTATATAAGCATCTACAACAATCCTCACTTCATTATTTTAGCTTTGTGCGAAAAGAAAATTTTCAATAAAATTCATTTATATAATTTTAATTAATTTTATAAAATTTAATTTTGATTGCTACACAAATTTTTCCGTTCAATAATTTTGTAATTCGCACGCTTCTGAATAACCGGTTATGGACAGATTGATATTTTCAGCGCTCTACAGCTTGTTGCCTCTAACTTTCGGTTAATTCATTTAATTTTTTATTACAAATTCTTTTAAATAATTAATTTATCCTATTTTTAAAAAAGTGAAAAGTGATTTTATTATATTTTTAATGTAGAAAGTAACACATGGCTATTAATGTTTATGCAGCTTTATCGCCAATCTGGAACGGTTTGTTATACGCCTTACGATCATTTTACTATCTTATAAAAAAATATTGCAAGTTACATTATTTATTTCAATTATAAGTAACTAATTCAAAATTTGCTCAAATCACTCAAATTCACCTTCCTCACAATTATAACGATCAGAAAATGGAGCATGTGGAAAGAGCAAATACCCCGATGCAGGGGACTACTTCCTACCAGCACCCACCATCGTTGGAGGTATAGAAGCCAGACCGAATGAATTTCCTTGGCAGGTAACAACTTTTAAGAATCAGTAAATAATCTAATAACAGTTTTTTTTTAATTTTTTTTGAACGAAATAATTCTCAGGTAAGTGTCCAAACAAAGAAAGGTACTCATTCGTGCGGTGGGAGCATCATCAACTCAAAATGGATCATCACGGCCGCTCACTGCCTCGATGAAAAGTTTACACATTCAAATTAACAATAATAATGAGAAAAATTAAACATCATTCGGTCAGTCGTTTAATTCTGTTGTTGCTTTATTTACCCCTCAGTAATCCAGGCTACTACATGGTTGTGGTTGGACTTCATAAAAAGATCACAGGAGCAGGTGATTCAACCGTTAAAGTTCATGATGTTGAGCGAATTGTCGTCCACGAGATGTTCTCGCCCATTACAGTTGCTAACGATATCGCCCTCATAAAGGTCAAGAATGACATCAAATTAGACGAAAATGTCAACACCGTCTGTGCACCCAAATCAAATGACCAATATGCCCATTATAAGACAGTTGTCTCTGGGTGGGGAAACTTAGCTCCAGGTAAATGATTGAAAATATATTTCCACAATTATTTTATGATTGTATCGACATTATAAATATTTAAAATGAAACTTCTAAAATAAGTATAAATTTCGCTTAAGATCTGATAAAAAAAATTAACAGGAGGGAGTAACTTGAATGTTGACAGTTTGATGTACACCACACTCAACACCACAGCCAAAGATTATTGCTTACGGATGTACAAAAACATACGCCCCATAACTGATGACATGATCTGTGCCTCTGATAACAAAGGCAACGTTGTGAGGGACTCCTGCCAGGTTCTTTACGACTTGCGTTTTGCCGATATATCTATAAAGTCTTCGTCTAAATACATTCGAATGAAATATAACAAGTCATAGTTAAAACAAAAAAAGGGTGCTAATCATTAACAACACATTTAATTTTTGAGTGGAACTAACTTTTCTATGGTGGTATATCAAGTATGAAATGGAGCAACTCTATTTAAATATAAAATTTTAAAAATACATTCATTTTGGTAACTTGAACTTTTTCGTATTTCTGTTGACTTGTTAAATAATATATATATATATATATTAAATTATAATTTTTAAAAACAGAAATTAAAAATTTAAAATTGATTTTAAAATGAAATTTTTCAGATGGACTCGGGAGGTCCACTGGTGAATAAAGAAAAAGATGGGACCTTCAGACTGGTGGGTGTGGTGTCGTGGGGCATCGGGTGTGCCAGCAAGTACCCTGGTGTTTATGCCAGGGTCAACCACTTCGAAGATTGGATTTTGAAGAATATTAAATTATAACGAACATTTTTTTTGTTATTTAAATAAAATTTCCTATTCTTATGAATTTATAAAATATTCATAAACTTTGAATAAACAAAAATTTAAAAGTCAAAAGTCTTCTTCAATGTCTTAAACTCTTGTTTACATTAAGCGAAAATAGATAATTTTTTTGGTTCGAATAAGCAAAATCAAATAAGCCTGCACCGTGAGATTTAATTTCGTTTGAGGAAATTTGGTCAGAAATATGCTGCCGAACCTCTTAACCTTTTTATAAACTTTTTAAACAACACTATCCTGCTGTATGAATTTAGCACCTATTTCATTAAAATTAAAATATTTTTAAGTAAATGGGCAAAACCTGGTTATAAAAATATCAAAAGGTACGTTTACCCAACAAGATGTTGGTAGGGTAGGCCGTAACAAATCACGTTGTTTTTGCGCACTTACCTGATTTGAACACTCGCAATTCAAAAAATAAAACCTCTCATAGACCTCATGTTCTTCATTCCATACAAAACTTGCTCGTGCAAAAATCTTTGGGGATGCAAATATTAAACCATTTTGACACAAAAGTTTCAACTCGAAACAAAGGGTTGTCTGTAAATCAAAAACTTCTGTCCACAATGGTTTCAATAGTTTGTTTGGTTAATTGGTTAATAGTGTCAAATTAATTATTTTTTCTCAAATCTTCATGGGGCATCAATATAAAAATAGAAAAACGAAAAATGCATATCCGTTCTTCTTCAAAAGTATAACTTCCGTTTTCTATACAAAAAATTTCGATTACATGCTGGTAGTATGGTAATTTTTTAGTTTTGGACAGATGGTATTTGAAACAGTTTACCTTGGAATAACAACAATGATAGTTGTTTCATTTTATCACATCAGCGAACCGAAAACCGCAAGAAACAATTTAGATGAGGAGTGGTGTCATGGTGAAGATGACTGGCCAGAACTGCAATGAATGACTTCGAATGCAGAAAGATCCCCACTTTCATAAGCTGTGTGTTATAAATTGGTTCACACTTGTTCACATACGCTGTGTGTGTTTGTACATGTGCGTGTACATGTGTGTTGTGTGTGTATGTTTGTTGTGTGTAATAATTTTAATTTAAAAACTAATAAAATGCCTAGTTCTGACGTAACTTCTTACTTCTTACACTTATTAAAAAATAATTTTGAAAAAACAGAAGTAAAATTTCATTAAATCAATTTTTTAAAACAATTAACTGAAATTTCACATGAATTGTATAAAATGTTTGTAACAAAAAATCTGAAAAATATGAACACTTAAAGCAACTTAATTGATATCTTATCTAACCAATTCAACGTTTAAACAATATATATCAAGACAATTATATTAATGAAGAACCATTCAAAAACTCGATAACAAAGTTACGTTTTGTTGCAATTTGAAGAAAATATCCATTGTTTGAATGATAAAACATCTTTTATAAGCAGTCGCGCAATTTGTTTCCTATTAACGGTCATATGATATTTTGAAATTAAAATAAAATCAATTTCACTAACAATCTCCTTAAATTTGCAATGAAGGAATTAATTCTGTTAGTTTTGTGCCTGCTATTTTTGTCGCATGGTAAATTGCATCAACTTCTTCTTTTGAAAACATCTAACTTTTAAAAACTTTATAACTTTCTACAAAATTATTTTAATTTCTAATGATATATATTCATTCATACTCTGCAGCAAAACCTCCAACTTGGAGTCGTTAGTTTCTTTTCTTTAATTTTCCACCCACAAATTCTAAACCTTTCATAAGATTACTACATTTTAAATGACTCCAGCAAATGGTTCATGTGGCAAGAGCAAGTACCACGACGCGGGCAACCACCCCCTACCAACGCCAACCATCGTTGGAGGCATCGAAGCCAGGCCGAATGAGTTTCCCTGGCAGGTTGAATTGTACCGCAGTTGAATTTTTAATTTGAATAAAGATAAACTATTTGAAATAATCTGTCATCTTTCTAATAAATTATACTTTGTTGACGACGAAAAGGTAAGTTTGCAAACGAGAGATGGACGTCACTTCTGTGGGGGGAGCATCATAAACGATCGGTGGGTCCTCACCGCGGCCCACTGCGTCCAAGGAAAGTTCGTACGGGAGAAATAATTTTAATAAATTAGTCTGGCGGTTGTGGTTTCACCAAATTTGTTCAATGATATTTCTTCAAAAAAGTACTTAGTTAATTTTTGTTACTTTTCTAATTTTCTAATTGAAATATTATTGGCTATAAAATATTCTCGTCAAAATGTAGGCCAAACATTTTCAGAAACACAAAAATTAAATTATTAAGTTAGAGAGATGAATCATGAAACGTGTTTCTTCATTTTTGAATCGTCTTCGTGAGCTTAGGAAGCCAGTGGGCTACATGGTAGTGGCAGGCATCCACAAGCTGGACACTGGAGTGAACGCCTCCACTGTCGCGATGCATGAAATTGAAAGTTTCATCGTTCACGAAAATTTTAATTCGAACACGATTGAAAATGACATTGCTCTCACGAAAGTCAAAAAAAGTATCAAGATGGACACGAACGTCAACGCTGTATGCGCGCCAGATTCCAACGACCAATACGCTTTTGAGAAGGCTGCCGTCTCTGGGTGGGGACTTTTGAAACCAGGTAAGTGTTTATTTGAAAAAAAATAGTTTAAATAAGTTTAAACATTAATTTTTAATTCCAAAAATAAAAAATTTTTTTTTGAATAAAATTCTATTAAATATTTTTATCGCAGGAAGTTTGGAGGGAGCGGACGCGTTGAGATACACTACCCTCAACACAACCACAAACGAACTCTGCACCAAAATGCATTCTGGATATATTGGTAATAAGCCAGCAGTAACAGTTGACATGATTTGTGCAACAGACAACATGAATGACACAAAAACAAGCACATGCCAAGTAAGACGAATTTCATTCATCCAAGCACAACATCAATAATTCATTATTTAAAAATCTTTTAAAACTAAATTAAACTGCCTAAATTGTGAAAACTGACTTTCCATTTGTTCAGTTATTTTAATTAATAATATAACTGTTACTATTTGACAATGTACAAAATAGGTGTATTTATTCCGAGGTAAAATTAAAGTTTAACGTAGACAACCAGGAATATCTAATCAAAATCTTTCCAGATGGATTCAGGAGGTCCGCTAGTGAAGAAAGAAAAAGATGGGATTTTCAGACTCGTTGGAGTGGTATCGTGGAGCTTGGGGTGTGCCCAGAAATATCCAGGAGTGTACGCCAGGGTCACTCACTTCGAGAATTGGATTCTTAAACATATTAAATAATTAATCAGACATTTTATTGCTAATAAAAGTGAATAACGTTTATTATTCCAGCCTAATCGGATGTTTTAAAAAAACTCGTTTCGAGATAATTTATATGTAATTTGTTATAAACTTGTTTCTACGTCGTGATGATTTATAATCTCACGAACCAACAAACATTCAATTTTGAACTATATAACAGAACATTGATTTTTGAGTAAATTATTAACAAAAGTCAAAGAATTGAATTAAGACAAAGACAGGCCAAACTGTTGCTAAGGCATGATCGTGAGGTGGAATAGCAACGGAACCATGTGATCAAGTTTTTTTTTCAAAAATCCTTTTTTATGATAATTTTTTCAATGTATTAGTATTTTCATTAAAAAAACTTTATGCTATTTTGTGTGAATTCCAATAAAAAATGTAAGCAACACATTCATCAGTTATAAACAAACGATTTCTTGACAAACAATAAATTAAATTCCAATTGAATTTCAGAAGCAACAACAGAATATATCTTTAGAATTGAATCATATATAAATAACAAAAAAAGCGATGAAAATTAATCAAATAACTAAAAATTCAATTAACCATCGACTCTGGCATAATGTCAAAGGTATCAAAATTTGCGAACGACAGGCAGTTGTGTGCAAGGGTCAACAGCAAGGAAGATGCGGAAGTACTAAGACAAGATATGACAAGACTATGCAAATGGGCTGAAAATTGGCTAATGCTATTTAACATAGACAAATTTAAAATGCACATTGGAAGAAAGGACAAAGGCTTCCAACATCAACTGGGCAGGAAGGACCATCGATCTACGGAAGAAGAAAAGGACCTCGGAATTACTATTCATCAAAGCACGAAAACATCAAGACAATGTACTTTGGCAGCAGCCAAACAAATCAAATACTTGGATGTATTAAAAGAGCGGTGGTGAGCAGAGAGAAGTCAATTATAAACTTATATAAAACGTTAGTTCGTTCTTATCTCGAATATTGTTCACAGGTTTGAAGTCTAGATCTGCAAAAGTACAAAAACATTCTTGAACGGGTACAGCGAAAATGATCGAGGGAATTGAAAAACTAGAATATAGGGATAGACTGAAAGAATGCGGATTAACAACACTTAAAAGGAGAAGATGCAGAAGAGATTTGATTCTGACATATAAATTAATAACTGGAAAAGAAGAAACACCATTCACCAGGTTCTTTCAACTAAAAAAATGAAAGAATTAAGAAGTCATAAATACAAGCTCTTCAAGAAGACAGAAAATCCAATAAAGCAAAGATTTTCAGCAGCAGGGTGGTAAACACCTGGAACGAGCTGAGCGATGAAATTGTCTCAGTGGATTCAATCAACAATTTTAAAATCAAGCTAGGAGAACTAGGATACAAGAACATTTATTTTCTAGTGTTCCTTACACAGATGCTTGTTTATTGAACCACTTTAAATTTTATTATTATTAAATCAAATAAATGAATTAATGAAGTAAACTAAATCAAATATATGAATATTTGAATTTTAAGTAAATTAATGAGGAAATTAATAAGTTAGTGTATGAAAGTTTAGTTTAGTGAGGTTTAGCAAGAGTAAGTACATAGGTAGCTTCACTATTAACAAGTTAACAAATAAACAGAGGAACGAATATTATCAGAGTAAAACTGTTTTTAGATCAACTCAGTAGTTGTTGTAGTGTTTACTCATTTATTTATTTCCATTCATCTGATTTTGAAAAATTGGATATTTTTACAGACGCTGCTGAGTGTAAACTGAGTTCAAACTTCCAAAAGTGAAAATTTACTTTTATTTTCTCGACAATTTCTCTTGAATTATTCCGATCTATCAGGGGGTGAACAAACTTCGCCCAGCCATTTTATGCGGCTCGCGAAACCTTCTACCTATTTTGAAAACTTACATTATAAGCAAAAAAAGTTGTTAGCCACAAATGTTGTCCACCGGTCAACATTTCAGAAATTTAAAAAGATCACCTCCCCCGGTCAAGGCATAAAAATTTTTATGTTTGTATATATAATATATACGGACATCACATCAAAAAGTTTGCCCATCCATGCGAATAAAGGATATGCCAATGAATTTCTGTGGCGTAACAAGAAGGGGGCAAGCCAAAAAGTTTAGACTTCGTAAAACCGCAAAACACGAAATGATCTGTGGATTTGTGCTTTCAGTAAGTAAACTTGTACAAAAAAATGGTTTTTTTTGTAAAAAATAATTTAAACAGTGAATTGTAAACCTTCATTGAGTCTAGAATTAATTTGAATTAATACTGCATTAAAACTTATAAAGATAGCCCCAATGACACTGAATTTTAGTTATAAATTTATTTGAAGAGGGAGGATTTAGATGATGAGGAAGCAAAAAAACATTAAAACTGTTAAACTTTAACGGGGGACCAAAAAGTACCAAAATGGGTTTATTGACCCTGCCCCTAAATCTGATTATAAACCTATTCCACTGATGGGCCCCCAGCATTTGATTGAAAAGGTTAAAATTGTGCCTAAGATCAATTTTGAAAACATTTCAGTACGTAATATTTTAGAAATGTTTCCACACAGAATTTGACGACGTCTAGAAAAAAATTTATTTATTATTACAATTATAAGAATTATATTTATAAAATTATTTAAACATACCTATTTGGAAAGTTTTTCGATTGATTCCCATGCACCCTAATCTCCAACTTCATGATAGATAAATAAAAGCCCAACACAATGCTATCAATCGCATTATACTAACAATCTTACATCAGACATTCAGAGACAATAAATTTTAACTTTTGATGAACAAAGTCCAAGCTAATTTAATCTAATGATATGAAAATTTATCTGATAAATGTTTCATAATAATAATTTTAAAGTTATTATAGCCGATAGCAAGCTAAGTTTTTAAAATCAAGTAGTAAGAACAAAATAACTTTCATGCAAAAGTAAGTAAATAATATATAACAGTGAAGGGGTGGGCAATCTTTTTGCTGTGAGGGCCGCATTGAAAACTATTTTACTTTTGAAGGGCCGCATATGTACGTAAATAGCAAATTTTTTCGACCCGAGGGAACATCTTTTAAGATTTGTTGTTCTTTTTATTCTTCATAATGTGACGACCTTTTTTGGCAAACAAGGCTTCGCGGGCCGCATAAAATAGTTTCGCGGGCTGCAAGCGGGCCGCGGGCCGTAGTTTGCCCGCTTCTGGAATACTGTGTTAAAAATAAAAGTTTTGCACATTTCGTAATGATTGAAACACCGTAATAGGAAACGAGTATTTGATGCCTGATTCAAACCAAAGTTTAAATGATATTTAATTTACCCTAGGATTTCATAATTTTTGAATGATTGCTAGTATATTATTTCAAATATCACTGCAATATACAGTGAAATATGCTAAGAAGGAACTAGCATAATATTACAAACTCCTTTGCAAAACCGTCGTTACAATCGGAAAATATTAAAGATAAAACATCTCTTATTTTATAATTACACCTTTTCCAATAATACTCTAGAAGTTCAATAAAACTCATATAAAAATGTGAACATGCGAAAACCCACTCGGGTATTTTTATCTTTAATCATGAACAAATTTACCTAAAAAATTAAATAAATAAATAAAAATATGAATTTATTTGTTTATTCTTATATCACAAGTAAAAATCGTGATACTTGAATAATAATAGATGTATCAACTGCCTATTATTATTATCTAATCTTAAAACAATACCTCTATTATCTAATCAAACAAAAGCCCATTGAAGACAATAACGATTTGAAATAATCATTCAAATTAACGTAAAATGCTCTCTTTACAGTAGATAACAATTGGATTGATAAAATCATGTAGAGAATAATATATGCGAAGCAGGTAGGTAAGTTTCGCTATATAAGCGAATGTACGATTTCAATTTTTACATTTCAACTCTGAACTGATCACTTGACAAGTAAGAATTTCATTTTGATGAAGAGTATTACAATCTAAAAAAACATTTTGATCAAAATTATCGCTGTTTGAATATGTTTTATATTAATTTTTTGTGAGTTTAATTAATTATATATTTTTTTTAATCAAAGGATGAACGGTTTGGTGGCATTGGTTCTGTGTCTTTTGCCTTTGACCTTGGGTGAACAAATTTTTTTCATTCGTTTTTTTTTCAAATTTGCAAATTATAATCATAAAAATAACAATAAAAATAATTAAAATACACTTTAACATATTTTTTTTATTATTTTTTTTATTTTTAATCATTCAAAAATAAAAAATAATAATTATATTAATAATTGAAAAATAATAATTAATTTAAAATTCAATTCATTTTTATTATCAGCTGTACCCCCTGTATGGAACAGTTAGTAACATGCTGAAAGATTATTTGGAGTTAATATTAAAATTGTTGAATTAGTTATGTCTGCTGTGTTATAATATTTGTAAAATTAATTTGATTATACAAAAACTTAAAACGTTGTCAAATTTTTTTTTCTTCTAGAAAATGGAACATGTGGAAAGAGCAAGTACCCCGATGCAGGGGACTACTTCCTACCATCACCATCCATCGTTGGAGGCATCGAAGCCAGACCGAATGAGTTTCCATGGCAGGTAACATTCTTGAAATATGAGATAAGAACTTTATTAATGTACTATTAAAACTATTTTCAATGTTTTTTCGAAAAAAATTAATTTAAATACTTTGATAACATTCAGGTAAGTCTGCAGTCAAAATCCGGTTTTCATTACTGTGGAGGTAGCGTCATTAATTCAAAATGGGTCCTCACAGCTGCTCACTGCGTCGTTGGCAAGTACGTACTGGCAAATCAATTTTCAAATAAACTGTTACTTCTGATTACAATTATCATAAATCATATAAATTTTCAGATTCCCAGCAGGCAATGTTGTGGTTGCTGGTCTCCATAAGAAAATTTCAGAACCCAACGCTCCAACTGTCAAGAGCTATGAAATCGAAAAGTACGTTATCCACGAAAAATACACTTCCGTCGTTACAGGATCCGATATCGCCCTCATAAAAATCAAAGGCGAAATGAAGTTGGATACCAACGTTGGTGCAGTGTGTGCTCCCGAAGGTATGGACCAATATGCTCATCTTAAGACTGCAGTATCTGGATGGGGATCCTTAGCTTCAGGTTAATTTTTTGTGTTATATAAATTTTATAAAGGTTCCACAAACTTAAATCGGTCTAATTTCCTCAATAATGTTTCGTAAACTTGTAATCAGCTACCTTTATAACCATTAAACATCTTGTATGAAACATCTGTGATTTCATTTCACTTAAAATGACTTTTATGATTTACTAAGAAAATCCTATAAACTGATTTGTAGGAAGTTCGGCAAAAGTTGACGGTTTGAGATATACAACAGTCAACATAACCACGAACGTATATTGTAGCGAAAAGTACCCCCAGTACAAGATCACACCCGACATGATTTGTGCCTCTGACAACAGAAACAGTGCTGAGCGCGATTCGTGCCAGGTCAGGAATCTAAATTTCATAAATAAAGTAAAAAACAAAATGTGATGAACGATAATTATTTTGCAGGGTGATTCTGGAGGTCCCTTGGTGAGAAAAGAAAGAGATGGAACGTTCAGACTGGTAGGTGTTGTTTCATGGGGCATCGGGTGTGCCAGCAAATATCCAGGAGTGTACGCAAGGGTCACCTACTTTGAGGACTGGATCTTGAAGAACATGAATTAAGAATTTATATCTTAAAGAAATATATTTTTGGTCATAAATGATGTTTTAATCTAATGATAATTTATAATGATGATTTATAATGTTTGATTGACTATAATAGAATACTAACTTTTAATAAGTTAACAATTATTTTATAAAAGAATAAATTAATCCCAACTACGCTTAGTGGTTTTTACCTTTATTCAAAATAAAAAAATTGTTGGACATTAGGCTAGGTCGTCAGAAAAAAATTGAATGTGAATAGTGATAAAAAGTTGCTATGGCATGGATGTAGTATGAAATGAAAATTTTTTTCAAAATCAAGACTCATCTTCCTTTGCCGCCAGGTGGAGCAAGATTGGCATTTTTAGCTTATATTGTGCTTTTTATACAATGAAAATAATAATTAGTAAAACAATTAATTTTAATTTAAAGTTATAATTAATGATTAGAGTAATCATTATTTTTATTATTAGTCATTTTAGGAATTATAAAAATACTCCAAATTGCTAACTACACTTCTTATTTTAGGGATTAAAATGAAGAAAATTAATAATTGCAAGGACATAAATTTCTCGTTCACGGCAATATTAATTTTTTAATTCATTCGAAATAATAAACACCGTTATCGAGATGCTCTACTAATAATTAATAATAAATTTGGAAATAGTTATAAACAACTGCAGTTACTAAAATTAGGAATAACTGGGCTTCCAATTCTGTTGTAGTTGTGACGCATGTTCAAATTGGTCGATGTTCTTCCTCATCAAATGAAATAGAATGGTTTTTTATATAAAGTTTAGTGATTGATTTAAAACGTGTGTTAAAAGAAATTTAAAAACAAAGAGTTTGGGAAAAGTCCAAGGCAGAATCTTTTAGAAATATAGTCCAGTTTCCTACAGTGGAATGCGATAGGAATGCGATAGGAATGGCGTATCTGATGTTGCAGGAGCTGCTATAGCTACAGCTGCCCTCACAGACTATGGAGTTATAAAAAAAACGATAGGACAGCTATTATTGACCGCTCAAAGCTGAGACGACAAAGGCAACGGCTTGGAGCCAAATTAACGTATGAAGCAAAGATAACTCTAGCTGCTGCAGGTCCAAAGTTAATTTTCTTTGATGGAAAAAAAGACAAAACTATTTGTACGTCATTAACTTATAGCTAGAGCTTTTTTGTTGAAAAACATATTACGTTACTTTAGGAGCCAAATTAAGGAGCCTATTACTCCACAAAAGCTTTCTGTGGAGCAATAGGGAAAGCACTTGAAAATGTCATGAGTTAACTGTTGTAAAATTTGAAAAACGACAGAATAATTTGCCGACACTTTTATAAGATATCACAAATATCAGCAGTATTTTTTCAACATAGTTAAAGCAATAGAAATTGGAAAAGTATAAAAAGAACTGACTAAAAAAAACCTGGTCCTTTTAATCCATTCACTTTGGCACACAGCAGCCAATATGTATGTTTCAACCACGTCATCTTCTAAAAAAACTCACATTGCCCACGGACTACATTCTAATAGTTTATGCTCCATTACGGTTTTTTTTTTACAAAAATACAACCTCAGTGTTATATGGGTGCTAAGCACCTGTGGCGCTTGATTCAATTTACGCGTTTTCTTCCTAAAAATGAACTCCAGATAATAAATAAATGTATTCAAAGAAATGCTTTTTTTGGTCACCCAGAAAATATTCTAACAGCAATCTGCTTGATGACAGAGATAAGAGAACTTGCAGCCGGACGAATTAAATGTGCAAGAAAAGCCACAGCACCTGGTGAAGGTAAAATCAGAAAACTTCAATGTCCTTCTCTTAACTTTGAGGCTGCCGAATACTATTGTCTTCTAAATTGGCAAGACGTTCCAAGAACCTCGCCACCTATGCTACGAGATATAAGTGATGACAAAATTGAAGCAGCAATTAAAGTACCTCGGAAGTGGACACTAAAAAAATATCCTTGACGTGCTCTGAGACGTGATGGATATATAAGAGCAAAATTAGAATCAAGAAAAGAAATTCCACATTTTGATTTGAAGAAAGATTGGAAAAGAGGAGAGATTAACTGAAACTGATAATATTATAATAGTAAATATATATTATAATATAATATAATTCAATGTCTTTCTCTTATATGCAAAAAACAGTGTCTTTTAATTATCAAATATACCGAAAAGTATGTTGTGTAACTGTATCACTCCAATTATTGAAATTTTTTTACAAAAAAAATAATTTGTGTTTTTTTTACAAATAAAATGCATTTTTATAAAAAAAAAAATCCAAAAAAAATTAATTTATTTACAAAAAAAATTTTTTTTTACAAAAAAAATTAATTTAAAAAAAAATAATAATTTGGAAACAATTTAACAAAATAATAAAATGTAAATCTTGGTTTTAATATTAATCAAACAATTGGCATTGAATAGAAATACTGTTATATATTATATGAGCTTATTTCAATGGCAAATTTAAGTCATTTTTCAAGGCCCTGGCGGCAAAGTTAAACAAATTTTTTTTTTTTTTAATTTTATTCCAAATGTGATCCATATATGCTAGAGCAACTTTTTATTGCTATTCATAATAATAGTTTAAAAAAAGTTTTGGGACGACCTGCCCTATTGGACATGAAAGTGAAAAGTTTTACTTAATCCGTTTAAAAAATGTACACAAAATTTCCTGAAAACCCACAATATACAATTAATAACAATTGTTTCATTCCGTGGAAACTTAAACATTCAATATTTGGCGGAGTAACACAGATTTAATAATTTTTAAATAAACAACGTTTGTCATTCACCACAGCATCATATACGATCACCATCTAAAAGAAATTAAGAACACCAGATCATTTTTCAACAACTGTTGACTCCTCTCTCATGTGATGCCCTGTCTCGACAAGAACTGACTGCTAAAATTTTTGGCTTCTGTACAATGTCACGTAAAGACAATTAATTATATAGACTGCTACTTTTATAAAAGAAGAGTGCAGAACGGCTTAAAATTTGAAAATTCCAAGACATCAAACAAATTGAATAAAAAATCCTGAAATTCTTCATTGGCTTCTAGTTGACTATGCATTTTATTCCACATCTCATATATAACATTCAAGACATTAACAACACTATTAAAAACAATTTGTCAGCATTGAGCATTTCAAACTATAAAGAGAATGAACTTCACTGGTTGTCTACAAACGAAAGAATCGAATTTAAAATCGCGTTCATGGTAAGAAGTTATTTAACGGGAAACAACCAAACTTAAAAGTAATCATAAAATCAGTGTCTGACGTCTTCAATCAAGCTTGGTTGAGGTCGGCAAAACATGGTGAGCTTTTATGTTCACGCTACAAGACATCTCATTTCTAGCCAACGATATTTTCGGTTGCGTCTGCCAAAGTCCGGTACTTATTGCCGGCTGATTTGAAAGATGTTTTTGGTATCAGCCGTGACATATACAAAGTACCAATTAAAACATCATTTTGCAACACAGACAGCGTTTCTGAAAATAACATGACAGAGGCACTGAGAAATCTTCAATACAGTTCAATAAAATACAGCCGTCACACCTAAGAAAGTTTTGTAACACAAAAAAGTCGATAAAAGCTTAAGGTCATTAAGCGCATCTTAATTAGTCAAAAAACATGTATAAACCTGCATTGCAGACCGTGTTTTTGTCATTCAGCTCTGTTTTTAACAATAGTTTTGCAGATAAGAGCCATAACAGCCATTTTTCAAAATTGGTATCTAATCTTGTAACTCTAAAAATGGTCATTCCACGGACTTATCGTCATTTGATACGCTCCCAAACTATAACAGTGAACAAATAATCTTAATCTTTTCTTGATTGTAATTATATTCTGATAAAACAATATGTTTTTGAAAAATATCCGTCATCGGTATTATTAAACTAACCTATTGAACTAATAAATGATGGAAAAATATTAAAGATAACTGATAAGAAAAATTTAACTGAATGTCGATAAAGTATACAAGCTAGACACAAAAACCTCATTAAAGAAAGCTACATTACTATAAATACAAAATATGTTGAAAAATTTTGATTAGGCGAACAAATTGAGTGCTTGTCCAGTGTATAAAATGTTATCGTTGTTTTTAGATTTTGTAAAATATATAATATTTGTATTAAGTTTACCTTTCAATGCGATCATTAATTTTTTTATTGAGTACCTTCAGTGCTTAGTTTTTTTTACCTAGATGAACTGTTTATTAGCGTTGGTCGAATTTTTTATTTTTATACCTTCAGCAATTGGCTAGTTTTTACTTAAAATTTTTTTGATAAATAGTGAATAAACTATGAAAAACTATGAAAAATTTTTTTATTTAACGTTTTTTACATAACACAAATAACAACATCCATATACTACGTTATTAAAAAAATGAAACATTTAAAAAGTTGCCCGCGCAACTGAACACTTAGCCTTTTGAAACAAATTAATGAGCAGATATAACAGACTTGATGAAATAGTAACCACTGCAGACCAATAACAAAATATTTTGTTGTCGTGAGTTGTCTTTATTCTTGCTGACAGTGCGCAACAAATAGAATCATTAATTTTCCACAGTAAGATTCTATATTTCTAAACTTTTGTGTAAAATACGATATAGGTAATAGGATTGCAATTAAAAACAACGGATTCTAGATGAATATGTATATTTTAAAAAAAATTAAATAAACTAAACTCGGTAACATTTTTAGCAGTTTATTGATTTCAATTCAAGATGGAGTTAATTTAAAAAAACAAAAAATAATTTCACAACAAAAAGTAATATGATGCTGAACCAAATTTAAATTCATTGGTTCATTTTTTAAAAATTGGACCATTTTTTTTGAACTGTTTCTTTTTTTTCTTCTTTGATCACCACCAACCCAGCTTTCACCAGATTTTGATACAAACTGTTTATGGTGCTCAAATTGTCAGTTAGTAGGGTATTTTTACCAATATTTCTATCAATCTTTGGTTGATTAAATTCCAGATTTCGTTTGGGTTGATATTTTTTGTAAGGTGTCTTGGAACATTGTTTTTCCTTTTCCAACTTGTTATTGAACCTTTATTTTTTTTTAATCTCGTGATGATCATCTCCATCATGACTTCTTTTGGCTATGTTGGTGGTCATGAAGACTGTTTGGCAGGGGTCGTTGTTGCGGTTATGGTTCTCTTGAACTGTTTCCTTTTTTTTCTTCTTTGATCACCACCAACCCAGCTTTCACCAGATTTTGATACAAACTGCTTATGTTGCTTAGATTGTCAGTTGGTTGGGTATTTTTACCAATATTTCTATCAATCTTTGGTTGATTGAAGTTCCGATTTCGTTTGGGTTGATATTTTTTGTAAGATGTCTTGGAACATTGTCTTTCATTTTCCAACATTTCATTAAACCTTATTTTCTTTTCAATCTCAGGATGATCATCTCCATCATGACTTCTTTTGGCTATGTTGGTGGTCATGAAGACTGTTTGGCAGGGGTCGTTGTTGCGGTTATGGTTCTCTTGAACTGTTTCCTTTTTTTTCTTCTTTGATCACCACCAACCCAGCTTTCACCAGATTTTGATACAAACTGCTTATGTTGCTTAGATTGTCAGTTGGTTGGGTATTTTTACCAATATTTCTATCAATCTTTGGTTGATTGAAGTCC